GGATGGAGTCCGTGGGGTCTGCCTGGCCCGCTGCCGAGAGAGGCTAGTGTCAGGCGCTCTGTGGGCGCGGGGAAGACGGAGAGCTGCTTCCCTGGATGAAGGACGGGGGTGGGGGCGGGGAGACCTGGCGCTGGGCGTGAAGAAGTGCCTCTCGGTCTTTATTTGGAGGGGGGAGGTCACTGCCCAGGGGCGGGGCTCGTCGGTGTGTCGTGTGGGTGCAGAGGGGGTGGTATGCGCCCCACGCAGCGTGACCCGAGCGGCCGGGCGCGAGGATGTCGGGCGTTCGGGTCGGTGCCCCGTGGGGTTGGTCTCCTCGGGGCGCAGTCGCCCGCCGCACGTGCCCCCCAAGGTCTGGGTGGGGGGGGCTGTTCTAGGTTAATAGGTGCGGTCGGTTCCGGTGAAAAGGCACTGGAGTTCAGAAGGGGGGGTCCAGCGAAGTGTCGCCGCCTAACGCCTCCGCCCCTCTTGCAGATTTCGGCTCGCTCTTCGACCTGGAGCACGACCTGCCAGACGAGCTCATCAGCTCCACGGACCTGGGTCTGGCCAATGGCGGGGACCTGGGGCAGCTGCACACCAGCCTGGGGGGCGTGGGCGCGCCGGGGGGCCAGGACGCGGCCGCCAAGCACAAGCAGCTCTCCGAGCTCCTGCGGCCCGGCATCACCGCCGGCCTGGGGGGCCCGCCCCCGGGGCAGCAGGCCGGCGGAGGGGGCCCCCTGGGGCTCCTCAACAACATGAAGAGCTCGCCGGGCGGCGCAGGGATGGGGCAGCACCTCGCTGGCCCGGCCGTCATGATGCCCGGCCAGCAGCAGCAGCAGCCCGGCATGAACAGGGGCATGCTGGGACCTGGGCCCCAGAAGGGCAACGGACAGCAGCCGCCGCAGGGGCCCAACGCCCCCTCGCAAGGCATGATGGGAGGCCAGGTGATGAACGGCTCTCCCCGAATGGACAGGCCGAACATGAGCTTTCAGAACACGGCGCTGGGGGGCGCCAACAACCTGTTGGCGGAGACGTTGCAGCAGCAGCAGCAGCAGGGGGCGGCGCAGCAGATGGGAGGGCCCGCCGGCCAGCCTGGCCTGAGGGGGCCGCAGCCCGGCGCGCTGAGCAAGGTAAGGAGGCCTTCGGCCCGGCCCAGATAGACCGGGGAACCTCGTGGACTGGGGACGGGAGAGCTCTGTGCTCCCCCGCGCAGGGGTGGCGGGAGCGAGCGCCGGCCTGTGTGCGTGGCTGAGCCAACCGTTACTGTAGGCATCTGGGCAGGAGCAGGGGGTGCAGCTGAGCCACAGATCCTTCTCCGTACTTTGTGGGCTTTCGTGACCCAGATGTATTAATCTGAGGTTCCTGACGGGGCTGCTACTGTAAGACCTGCGCCGTTCCCCGGATCTGTGACTGGGACAGCTGGGAAGGCTCTGTCTGGAGTTTGAACAAGACGTGCGATTCGGCATGCTGGTTTAAAACGTGACTTGTAGTTTCGTTAGCGGCTGGACTGCAGTGCCCAGAGATTAAATTCTTCTCAAGCAT